AGAATTAACAGCCCTGCTTTGATCGTTAAAAGTATCCACAAAAAATAAAATATTTGTCTCTTAAAAATTAGCAACATGATTTCAGATTTAGCACTGATACAAGCAAGCTCTCCTGTCAGAATGTGTGAATCTCAGGTTTTTTGTTTGTTTGTTTCTTTTACTGTTTTGAAGCCACTTTGAAAAGTTTTTTTTTTTTTTTACATGAAATTCACTGTGATGCCTTTTTGTTAAGCACATTACATCATTAGCAAGAAAAGTAGCCATTTCTATAAAGTGATTTTTGATTCCTCAACCTCGTGCCAAGTCAGCAACATTATCTGATAGTTAGCTCTAATACCAAGAAGCTGTCCTGTTAGCATGCCTGAGCCCAAGGTTTTTTTTTTTGTTTGTTTGTAATTTTACTATTTTAAAGCTACTGTGAGAGATTTGTTTTTACTATTTTAAAGCTACGTGAGGAGTTTTCTTTTCACATAAAATTCACTGATGCCTTTTTGTAACAAGTCAAAGCAAATAACATGACTAGCAAGAAGAGTAGCCATTTTTATAGTGTGAATTTTAAGGGCCTCAAACTCATGCGAGTGGGTAGGTGTCAGCCAAGTAGCTAAAAATAAACATCCCTGCCTTGATCATTTAAAATATCCACAAAAAATAAAATATTAGTCTGTTAAAATTCAGCGACATGATCCGATAGTTAGTGGTAATACAGGCAAGCTCTCTTGTCAGCATGTCTGAACCCCACTTTTTTTTTTAAAGCTACTGTGAGAAATTTTTTTTCTATTTTAAAGCTACTGTGAAGAGGTTTTTTTTTCACCTGAAATTCACTGTGATGCCTTTTTGTAACTTAAAAAAAGCAAGTAAGATCACTAGCAAGGAGAGTAGCCATTCTTATAGTGTGATTTTTGATGCCTCAAATTCGTGCAAAGGGGGTAGGTGTCAGTAGAGTAGCTCAGAGTGAACAGCGCTGCTTTGATCGTTTAAAACATACACACACACACACACACACACACACACAAAAAAAAAAGATTATTTTTGTTATTAGTCAGCGACATGATCGGAATGATAATTATTACTCAGGCATAGAGAGCACAAGATACGCAACAACTACTCTGTCCACAGGGGGGCGCCAAAATGGACACAGACCTAATGTTCCTCACTTGAGTTTTAAAAAATGTGGAGTTACAGAGCATGAAGTCGGCACAATGATTTGTTTTTAATAAAAAGTGACAACCACACTACCAAAAGTTACCCATAACCCAGTACTGACAAACACTGTAGGTCCTCGGCCCCTTAAGAGTCTCCTTTAAATAAACAGTATGATGTGTTTAAGTGGAGAAGATGGAGAAGCTCTAATCTCCTCCAGGCCCAGTGTGAGTGTGAGTGTGTGTGTATGTGTGAGTGTGTGTGTTCTTACAGCATATAATGATAACAGCCAGCAGATAAGCAGTATGGGTCCCTCTGGTGTGTGTGTGTTCAAGTAAAACACACTTAAGGCTCACCTCTGTGTGTTCAGGTGGACATGTGCAGCTCAGAAACACAAGCTGAAGATGTGCAAGAGAAGTAACATGATGTACACACACTCACACGCACACACACACTTCAATAAGCAATGCTGGAGAGATGACTTGTTACCACCCCTCTCTTCCTCTTCCTCTTCATATCCCCTCCCTCCTTCCTCCTGTAATCACTCCCCTCTGAACGCTCTGTATATAATTCAGTAGCAATTCTCTTCCTCTCCTCCTCCTCCTCCTCTTCTTCTTCGTCTTCTTCTTCTTCTCAGGTAGACACAATGAGATATGACATTTCATTTGAGTTTCTCGCCACCGTGCGCCCTCGCCCTGAGATATAAATAAATATTTCATTAGCGGGTTGAGAGGAGGACGAAATAAAGATGCACACATGCACACGGGCCGCGGCGCACAAACAGGCGGGCGGAAAAGGAGGGGCGCGGCAATATAAATGCATTGATACATTCATGCTCACATACAGGCCTGAGATGTTAAACAAGCAGCCCTACACACACACACCTGTACTACACAAACACACACACACACAAATACACAGGGGTTTGGATGCATGGAGGACCAGTGCAAACATCCTCATGTAGAAAGTGATAATGCAATCTCATGCCTAGAAACAGACAAGATAGATAAGTAATGAAGATAACACGTCTCCCTCTGCACCTCCTATCATCACGCCTCTCTCGTTAGACCACTTTATCTCCCCCCCACCCTCTCTTTCTCTCCCTTCCTCTCCCTCTCTCAGGTCTTACCTAGAGACTCCCGGCTTTATTGTCTTAATTAAAACAGAGCCTGTTTAATTATTTTAATCCACACTACTGCACAACAGGGACTCCTGAGAAGAGAGGAGAGGGAGGAAGGAGGAGGTGGGAGGAGGAGGAGGACGAAGGGGAGGGGAGGTATAGCCCTGACATTTCAAATTAAGCTCTTCAAGTTCAAAAGCAAGAGTTCTTATCGCGTTCATTTTCCCATTTCTGCCCTTCTCTCCCTCCGTCTCCTCTGCCAGTCTGGCCTCCTTTTCACTGATCTCCACCGCCGCTCTCCTCTCTTTCTCCATTTCCTTCCTCATTACTCCCTCCTTTCTTCCTCCTCTGCCTCTCCTCCTCTTCACTATACCTTTGAGAGATTAGCAGTTTGGAGAACAGCCCTGTCGAGAGCCTTTTTCAAGTCCGGGACATCAAAAGAATCTGATTATTACAACACCACATCGAGTCGTGTGTGCGTATGAGAGAGAGGGGGAAAAAAAAGCTTTTCTTATCTTCTATTCGCCCGTGTGCACACTGATAACTTCACACAGCAAACATGATTCAGATATGAGGATGTAATCACACCATGATTGTTTTTACAGGTTTTTTGGGCGCTGCAGAGTCTTTGTGTGTGTGTGGTTTGCATTGTTTGTGCCGTCTGAATCTGAGGTCAAACTGTGGCATCACCGAGGTCAGGTGATCTGACTGTCCTAACCTCTAAAATGACAACGGTGATGGAGGCTCAAAACTTCTAACATCAGCACTCTGTCAGGGCCTGTGTCTATTCACAAATGCAACCATGGCAACCGTAATCAACAGGAAGCATTTACTTAGACGTCAAAAATGTTGAACCAATTGTTGATACATGGCGACAAAACTAGTGTTTACATGACATGTTTGTTAAGACACACTGATACTGAGATACTGTAACGAAGTATCAAGAAGCAGATAGCATCGGTTAGCTCTTTTAAAGTTACGTTTGACTGTTACGGATGGACACAGGCCCTGATGCAAACCTTTAAAATACTATTGCAGTGATCTTCACATCTTATTATTAGCTTTGAAAAAAGAAAATTGTTGGCAGCTAATAAAAAATAATCTGAATGTTTGTCAACACCAGATTGATATTTTTTTGAGTTATGGGAACTGACTAAAAAGCAGTTTTGGTTCAACCAAAAAGGCAGCAAACTTTGGACCTCTTTGCATGTCCGGCCGTCCTCACATTCAACTGATTTATGTGTTTTTAAAGCTGTTTGCTGGGAAATAAATGTGGCTTAATGCAAACTGGGACCTCAAGCTGAAACATTATTGAACCAGGTCCTTAACAAAGCAGGGTTTGGATCCCCATACCTAGACGCCTATTGTTGGTCATCTGTTCACATCGATGGTTCAAAACCGTCCCACTGATCCTGACCACTGACTCCAGTATGCGCCATTTTCTCTGAACTAGAACTGGAGCCTAGCTTGCGCGCCCATCCCCCCAGCAATTTCTTCATTAAAGGGATATTCCGGCGTAAAATTAACACCGAGTTAGACACCTTCTTGAGAAATAAAAGCTGCCAACCGCTTGCTTTTCTAGTTATACCAACTTAAGTAATGACCGCAGGATAGCAATACAAAGAGCCATGCACTCAACCAAAACGCCACTCTATAGTCACAAATAGTACTCAGAACAGCACCTAACTTTATCAACAGTACATATAGGGTCCCAGACATAGTACTAGCCAACTCACCTACTCTCTTCCAGCAGCTGCTTGTTTGTACGGAGACCTCTGGGCGAGTCCATTGACTACGGGGTGACGCAGCTCAAGGAAGAACATTTATGATCATTACTTTATCATTTCCTTTATCATTAATTATATGATGATTAATCATCATATTAATCATTTTGCACTGCAGACGCGGTAGTTCTTCTGCTTTAGCGTCTCGGTCTGATTGTATTTCCATGAAGAAATGATCATAAATGTTCTTCCTTGAGCTGTGTCACCCCGCTGCAGTCGACGGACTCACCCGGAGGTCTCTGTACAAACTAGCGGCTGCTGGAAGAGAGTAGGTGAGTTGTGTTTAGTCTCTTTGCTGAAGAAATCAGGCAAAGTTAAAAAGATGTTTGGTGGCTAGTACTATGGCTGGGACCCTATATGTCCTGTTGATGAAGTTAGGTGCTGTTCTGAGCATTATTTGTGGTTATAGAGTGGCGATTTGGTTGAGCGCGTGGCTCTCTCATGCTATCGTGTGGTCGTTACTAAAGTTGGTATAACTAGAGAAGCAAGCAGTCGGCAACATTCATCTCTCAATAGGGTGCCTAACTCAGTGTTACATTGTGTTTGACCCTAACTTAATTTTACGCCGGAATATCCCTTTAAGGTTAAGTTGAATGTAACTCATGTTACCCCCTTAAAAATACTGATATACCCCTTTAAGACAACAATAAAAGTTTTTCAGATATTTCAACTATGACAGCCTCGGTGTGCAGAGCAGATAAACACCATAACTATGAAGGATGTGGAGTTGTTATTGAGGATTTCTGTCTTTAAGTAGTGTTCAAATCTGAATGAAAAAAACAATTTTAAACACATAAACACAACAAAACCCGTCTCTAGAGGCTCAGACCAAAGAAAACAAGAGTGTAAATGTGAGGATGACGGTGCGAGGAGCGCCGGCTAATGCTTCAAACATAATGAGGGTGTATTCGCACCACTAACATCCAAACAAGTGTCAGTCTACAGAGCAGACTTTGTCAGTCTCCATCAGAGGAGGAGGGAGGCGGTGTGAAGAGTTCTGCTCCCAGTGGACCGCCGAGCGAGGTAGAGGAGGGTGAGGAGGGGCGAGGAGGACCAGAGGTAGATAGGAGGTGGCAGGGCTGAAGGGCCGAGAGGATACATTACATAATTTGTGTTTCCCTCCTCCGCCGCTCCTCCCATTCGCTGTCTGATTAGTCTGACCTTGATGCTGCCGCAGCTCCGCCCGCTCCTGTTGAACTCTGGGTAATGAAGCTGCTGCTTACAAATAGAGAAATAAACACCTGGTTCCCTGGGAATGGTAATAAGCCCTCCCTCCCTCTCTCTCTCTCTCTCTCTTTCTGTATCTTTATCTCTGCTTCATTCACATTTCCCTCCAGTTTGTCATCCTCTATCTTCTTCACTCACTTACTTTTCTTTCCTCTTCCTCCCCCTTTCCTCCCCCTCCTCCTCCTCCTCCTCCTCCTCCTCCTCCTCTCTATCTGTTTCAGCAGGGAGTCTAAAGTCCCCAGATTTCCAGTTTACCTTCTGATTAAGGCGAGAGTCGAGCGTTTCTATTCCCTCTGTCTCCCTCCTCCGTTCCATCCCTCATTCATGCGCTGCCACGGTAACTAGCCTATTATCTGACAGTTCCACTCCACTGACCTGCCCAATAACAGCTTTCACATCCCTATAAATGCCCCTGGAGAGAGAGAGAGGAAGAGAGGCCGAGAGAGAGAGGAAATAAGAAAGAATGTGTGTGTGTGTGTCTGGTTGTGTTCGTGTTTGTGTGCGCCAACGTATAAACCCTGGAGATTGCCCGTGTTATAAACATTTACGCCAGGCCAACAGATCATCTCCGAGATCCAGGATTGGATTGGACCCCCCCGCTCCCCCCTCACCACCCCTTTAGTCCCCCCGGCGAATTGAAAGCCCAAGATTAGCGGGATGATAGCTTTTCAGATTGGCGAGGAAACACAGAACTGAGTTTCACCGGGCAAGTTTACGGAGGTTAGATTGGAGCGGTTAAACGGCGGATAAATTGATGCCTCTCTCATTGTCTCTCCATCAGTATAGTGGCTAAATCTATTAACCACCAACGACCCGATTCGGCTCGGAGAGGAAAGTGAGGCGATGGGTGAGGATGAGGAGGAGCAGGGGATGACGGGAGGAGAGCTGAGGAAGGTGAGAGGAGGAGGAGGATAAGAGGCCTCTGTTATTTAAATATACTCCGACTACATTATTTACTGACAGACATTTTTATACCATAATGCACTTTAAATTCACATTCACATTCAGACTCTGACATTGGCGCATTAAAAAGAGTCTACATTTGATCCGACTGTTCTCTGGCTCTGCACTTATACACAGCAGCACTTAGACATGCTCACCATAGCTGTGTCCCATTACAGAGGCTTCATACTTTAGAGAGCGCCGCTGAAGACCCGCTACATCACGGTGGTGCGTTGATAAAAGCGCCTTTGAATCCTACATTTCCCAGGCTGCAAATGCATCCTTTGAAACCCAACATACTGTATACGGAAGATGGCGGACGCCCCAGTGGGCACAAGACGTCAACGATCCTCAGGTGACGTCAAAAACCAGCGTTTTCATCTATTTTTATCGAGGGTTTGTTTGCTACCCGGCTGTCTGGCAATGCATCTCCGCTGTTTGACTCCCTAATCGAAGCCCTGCAGACTCCGGAGCATCCACAGAACTTTAAGGACAGTTTTAGTCCAACTGGGGGGTATTCATTTGGGTGACCATATCCTGAATCCCCAAAAAGAGGACATGATGACATGGGGGCGGAGTCACAGAGTTGCACAAAGTTAATGTTGAGGGTTTTTCGGGTTGGATCGAGTGTCTTTTACGTGCTGCTTACTCAATAAGTCCACGTGACACAAACTCGAAACTTCCATACAAAACCGCAGACATTTGAAGGATTTTATAAACTCCCCTGGACAAGGCCGGACAGACCCCCAAAAGAGGACATGTCTGGGTAAAGGAGGACTTACGGTCACCCTTGTATTCACGGAAGAGAAAAACGATCCTCAACCAGAATGATTATCGTTAATTAAAGCTAATAAAATGACAAAAACTAGAAGTGAAAAAACACTTTTGTTAACTGAAATAAATTTAAAAAAAATTACTAACAGAAACTGTATTGTGTGTTTACAAAACTAACTGAAATGTATTAAAATAAAAGATAAAAATCCCTATGTGCTAGCAGCGCCGCACGGCACCTCTCAGTTCATCGCTTTGTGTTTAGAGTCGACTTCCCGTCACCATTCTATCTTAAAAAATGGCGACAAAACTCGAGAGAAAGCATCAGAGTCCAATTTGAAATTTTTTTAAATAGAAGGACAAAAGCAAGTGCCTTGACGTGAAAAGTAGTGGTAAAATATGTGGAATCCTTCAAGGGTATAAAAAGGGGCTCGCTGTAGTGGTGCCCACTTCTCAGATGGTTGTGGGCTTTCCACAAAATCATAGCAATCTTTGTGACGTAGATCATTTCTACCATGCTTGGATCTCTCGTATTCACGGCGCCAGTATCCAAGGAATGATGGAATTATTTAGATTTGACACACGAATGAAGCAAGTAAATACTATTCATTTACACATCTAGATTTCCACGAATTATGTGAGTAGATGACTTTACCAGTTTGGTGTGAGCGCCCCATTAAAGAAAAAAAAAAGTCCAAATGAAATCAAACTAAACTATAATGAAAAATCTAAAACTGTTTTAACCTTGCCCTCAACCCTGTTAAGGAGCTTGATTTTGTGTGATTTCAGTCAATCAATGATTGGTTAATCAATTGGTGACACATGTATAGTGAGAGGGTGGTTACCGGACCTTGGTTACCTGACTAGGTCTGAACCCTGAAGGACAAACGTTTACATTTTACATGTGTTTAAATCTGAATAGAAATGGGAATATTAGACGATATACAGCAATTACTTTCTAGATTTAGAGACTCCCTTGCTCACCCCTCCTGTTGGTGAGGTTACGGTGGCCCTCTAGGGACAATTACAAATTTCTCTGGTGCAATTTGGTGGCCTTAGTAAAGAGGAACGTGCTTCAATGTAGAATATATATTACAAGGCTCAGTCCAAGCTAACAAAACAAAACAACTTCTGCTGTGTTTTTGCCACAGTGTCAACAGGCTGAGGGGAACGTGAAGAAGTCATACTAATGTGCAGAATAAACACCCTATTGATGATGAGTTTAGCAAAGCTTTAAATGCAGACTCCAGCTCACACTGTGATTCGAGATCATTCGGCCAATGTTCACCCTGAACTTGTATCCATCTGGAACCTTTATTACACCGCCTGTTCAAGGTGAAAGTGTTACACCTTGTCTATAATGTCATTTCCACTGAAGTGTAAAGGTGGTTGGAGTTGTCCACTGCAGAGCCCCCAAAGGACATATCTACAGAAGTGAAGCAGTGTCTTTGTAAAGGTTGGTCGGCCAGAGCAGAGCTGCGTCTGACGGTTTATTTCTGACCTAACCCGATTCAAGAATTTCTTTTGGTTCGCCAAAACATCCGCCTAATTTTACCACCCTAAAAACTCAAGATTTAGACAAAAATAAATGTTTTTTATAAATCTACAGTCAAATGAAGCACAACAGCTCTCTAATACACACGCTCAAGCTCCGGGACACACATGACTAATCCTACTTGGAGAATTAACTGCATCACAAGTCCTGGTCGCATTAGAAAGTCGATAAATTACATTTGATAAAAGTCTTTCAATAGACTGGGTCAGCGCAGCGTGTGAGTGTGTGTCTGTGCGAGGCGTTTGAAGGGAAACACTTTAAAGGAGGAATTTAATGAGCCCGTTTAGTGATGATTAAATAGAACGACAGTCAAATGATGAAGACTGGGTTTTAATAAGAGCTATCTGCTTAATCCCCCAATCTGTAAATATCTGCTGGAGCAGCCTCTTCAGTCCTCACAGGGCTGGATTTAAAGTTTCACATGAAAGACGAGAAAGGGCTTCTCAGTACTGCCCAAAAACCAACCATAACTTCTGCAAAAGAGTCAGGGAGATACCTGCTCCACCTGTGGACACATGGACATCCGACACCAAACATGGAGGAACGACAGGAAGGAGGTTTAATGTATTTATCACTGACTGAATGTAGAGGCTCAGTCATGTAACGCAATACAGGAAACTCTAGCTTCACGGCCTCGCATCATGACTTTATTAGTGCAAAATTACTAGGGCCTGACCGATTTATTGGCCAGCCAATCACTTCGGCTAATTTTAGCCCGTTTGAGACTAATCGGTTATCGGCCAAAACTCGCCGATTTTCGCCGATATTTTCAGAAATAAAATGCGGAGAATAAGATTCGGTTTCACTTCAAAAATGTTCCGCCATTTGAAAAGTTCTCCAACTTATCCTGTAGATGGCGCAGCGACCTCATGACGATCTTCAACCACTAACCTCCTCACAGCACAGCAGAGTGACAGATCTGAAGCAGGCAGCTCAGGGACGCACGGAGGAGAGTGGTCCGCCTCAACGGTAAATAAACCAGTTTGTGAAACACACAATAAGTCAACAAGTTTCAGTTCAACCCACTTCACGATGTTCCTCGCTGTGCTGGTCTCGGTCACCCCGAGTTAACAGTGAAGCACCATGTAATATGAAAGCTAAAGTTAGAGTTCGCCATCTGCTATTAGCCTTGCTACACTGTTTGTCGTGCCAGTAACGGTAGAATAAACAACAGTACACATGCGGGGGGGGTACTTCAAAACGCTTTTCTGGTCTGAGTTTGATCAGTCGGTCTTCCTGCCAACAGTATCTACAGTATATAAATATATTTTTTAACTTAATAAATTTTTTTTAAATTGGCCGATTACTCACAGTCGGATTCCGCCTTTTTTGAGATACAGTTGTGTGCTGATGTGGGCCTAATCAGCTGCACCTGTACCTACATTTTGTTGAAGGATTTATTTAGGCTTTTATTGACTAATAGAAGATAAAACAGGGGAGTGGGAAATGTGGGAATCAAACCCGGGCCGCCTGCATGTGTGGGTTCTGTTTGTTACATAGTGAATATCACTTTAGTCCACGGAGATCATCGTGCAATAACCACTGGAAAGAGGGGGGTTCAAAAAGCCCTAAAAATGTGCGTGTCTGAGTGTGTGTGTGTGTGTGTGTGTGTGTGTGTGTGTGGTGAAGACAGAGTGAGAGAGGAGCTGGAGAGCAGAGAGCACCGTGTCTGGGATGTTTTTGAGACGCTCTGAGATGAAAAAGGTGAGAAGGGCCACAGGAACCGTTTCCCATGATCCCGCTTGACCTGACCTGTGCTGCGCTGTGCTGGGCTAGACTCTGATGGTGTGTGTGCATGTGTGTGTGTGTGTGTGTCAGGGGTGTCTTTGGTCCTGGTCTTTCCTGTAAACAGTGTGTTTTGGGTTTTTTTTTTAGTGGGCAGAGGTTAAAATCCAGCTCAGAAATCTGTCTTCTCTCCTCACAGGTGGACACATTTGATCAGCTGTGATACTTTATTTTGAATAAATCACCTTTTTAAATATCTGACCACATGAGCACCTGTGTCAAAGAGTGGAGACCCGTTAGAGGAATGTGATCTCGAGCTGTG